AAAATAAGATAAAATATATTACCAATCAACTCCTAAAAAGAGGGAAAAAAATATTAACCACATACATATATAAGATATATTTCATAACTTATGAGAGTTATATCACAAAATATATTCCCTAGATATCTTTATATCTTAATACTTCCCATCAAGTTGGAAATTGGATGTCAATCACACCCAACTTGTCTTTCATAAAATCAAATTGTCATCTTCCTAAAGCTTTAGTGAAAACATCTGGCAATTGCATTTTAGTTGAAACATAACACAGTTTGATGATTCCAGCTTGTAACTTTTCTCGAACTATATGACAATCTATTTTAATCTGCTTCGTATGTTCATGAAAAACTAGATTGACTGCTATATGTAATACTGCTTGATTATCACAATACAACAATGTTGGTTCGAACATGAAAATTTTCAAGTCTTAAAGAATGTATCTCAGCCAAGTTAACTCTAAACAAGTATTTGTCATAGCTCAATACTCGGTTTGTGTTGATGATCTGAACACATTGGGTTGCTTTTTAGACTTCCAAAAAATAATTGAATTTCTCGAGAAAATGCAGAACCCATAAGTAAACCGTTTGGAAGTTTCGACAACCCCCAGTCAGGATCGTAATATACTTGTAATCTCAAGTTGTTTTTAGATGACAGTAGAAGTCCTTGACCAGGGTACCTTTGATGTATCTCAAAACTCGAAGAGCTGCCCCCAATTTGGTTTTCTTGGTTCATGCATAAATTGACTAAGCATACGAACTGAATACACTATGTTAGACCTAGTAACACTTAAATATATTAATATGTCAATCAACCGTCTATATTTGAATACACTATGTTAGGTCTAGTAACAGTTAAATATATTAATCTGTCAATCAATGGTCTGTATTTACTTAGATCATTCAACTTCTCTCCTTCTGTTAAAGCAAGTTTCAGATTTTGCTCTATAGTAAATTTTTCTGGACGTGCTCCTGTAAGACATGTGTCTTAAAGAATTTCTAGAGCATACTTTCTTTGAGACATAAAAATTTCTTTTATAGATCGAGAAAATTCAATGCCTAGGAAATATTTCAAATTTCCTAAATCTTTGATAAAGAATTTCTCAAGTAAACTAGTCTTGAGATGTTTAATTTTTTTGAGATCATTGCATGTCAACAGAATATCATCCACATAGATAAGAAAGGCAGTGAAAGAAGTATCTCTACTCTTAGTAAATAAAGAGTAATCTACTTTGAACGGATTGTAGCATGCATTTTGTATAGTGGTAGAGAATATGGAGAACCAATTGCGAGAAGCCTGGTTTAACCCATAAAGAGATTTATGTAGCCGACATACTGTATTCTCCCGCTGGTGGTAAAGATATGTACCATGGAGAAAGACATTTTGAACATTCAACTGATGAGTGAACCATTTTTGAGCAGCAACAATAGTGAGTAAGCAATGAAGTGTAGTAAGTTTCGTTGTAGGAGAAAATGTCTCTTTGTAATTAATATCTTCAACCTGAGTGTATTCCTTTGCTACCAGCTGAGTTTTATAACGTTCAACAGAATCATCAGAGTTTATTTAATCTTGTATACCCAACGACAGCCAATAGTTTTATGGCCAGGTGGTAGAGGAATGAGAGACCAAGTATGATTACGTTCCAAGTATGATCAACATGTATTTGGTGTTGATTACAGGTAAATGATGTGCAATGCGCTTCCCGTTCATCCTAGAGTACTTTGATCTTGGTGAAATATGCTGACATTGCTATGGTTCCCTGTGACATCATTGCTATCAACTTTTGTATCTGAAAAATTGCTGAAACATTTTTTTGCGAGAATTGATCGTGAAGATCAATCCACACTTGATGAGCTGTCTTAGCGTGAATAATACCTTCAGCGATATCTGCTTCAACTGAATGAGTTAACCAGGATAATATCGTACTATTGCACTGATTCCAGAGTTCAAATTCTTTTGAATTTGCATCTTGAGATGGTTATTAAATTGTGCCATCAACGAAGCCAATTTTCTTTTTGGCAACAAGAGCATGCATAACTGATTTAGTACCAGATTGATAATTTGTCCAATTTAATTTAATTGAAACAGGAAATATCCTAACAGATTAGAGTGATAAATGTAATAAGGATGTGTAAATCAACATAGGAAGTTTTGAAGCTGGATTTGGCTGATTCTGCCATAAAGTAAATTTTGATATTTAAGAACACCTGTGATACCATATTATGAATGAGAAGATCGAGAGTACAATTTTCATTAATGCTCACAACGTTTAAATATAATACAAGCTACCAACTAACTCCTCCAAGTAAATTAAGAGAAAATATATTACTAACCAAATTCTTAAAATAAGATAAAAAATACGAAATATACTATTAACCAAATCCTCGGAACAAAACCAACGAAACTCCTAAAAATAAGATAAAAATATTAACTAATTACATGACTCACAAAAAAATATTAACGGACAAATATCTATTTATTGTTAGACTAAATCATTACAAATTTTAAATATATTGAGGCTAAATTGTTAATTATTAAAATTGAGAGACTAAATTAAAATGTTACAAATTAAAAAATATAGAGAGTAAATCGTTATAAACTAAATCTTAGTAATTTGTTGTAATAATGTACATGAGTTCAATTGAGATGAGTTGAAAAAAAAAAACATTTAGACCAACTTGAGGTGGGTTGGTGATCGGAGTAGATGGAATAGAGTTCACATCCTAACTCAGCCTAATCCTTTATTTTCGAGTTGGATTGGGTTGTCAAATTATGTTTTAAAAAATTATTTTTATCCATAATACATGTTACATTAATAATAAAATCTCATAAAAATCAAATATCAAACATTTACCAATCACAACTCATCTTAGCATGGGCTATAAACATTAAATATTTTAAATTTATTGAAGAGTAAGGTAGGGTTGAGTTGGATCCTAACTCTATTTTTTCTAACAAAAAAAATGTCAACCTAATAAGATGAATCGAATTTTTTATTAATTTCTCGAAACCAACTAAAAAAACCATATTTTTGCAATAATCCAAACAAAGATAATATAAATAGTTATTTGATCGGCTACTCTTGCCCACCTCTATACAACTACAAGAAGGGTTGAACTCAGTATGTATTACCCGAGCTACTTCATTCAATCCTCAAGAAAGCTCGTACCTAACCCTACTACTTACTCATGAGTATGTATTGTATCTTGTTACGTGAGGAGTATATTGTTACCTTTTCAGTATATTGAACCACAAAGACGTTTAAGAAAAGATCCTTAAAATAGTAGGAAAGAAATCTAAAAATAAATATAACTAAATATAAAAATTGCAATGTCTTGTATTAACCTAAAATCTACTAAATTAAATGCAACTGGTTTGTGCAAGTGTCATGGTCTTTTAATGTGTCAATCATACATAGTGTCTTTACCTTCATTTGAAATATAGTAGTATTTTAAAAAATACTTAGTAAGTGACCTATTTGTGGTTAGGGAATGCAAACACATGCAATCATGATTAAGGACCTATTATTTAAAACCATAAAAAGGTGGCTTCTAGTTCGGACAAATTAGATGTGTAGTACTTTCCTACACAACCCACATGTGCGAGCGTGAGCTCACCAGGCAGGCTCGCACACCCCTTCGGCTTACATGGTAGAGCTAGACTGTAGTCGGACGTCTGTATGTACAACAAACCCTCGAATATCATGCAAGGCATGATGATCATTATCATCCTCATAGTGTATGCATTTGTACTCATCATAAAAGGAAAAGTATCCTAATGTAAATGAACATACAATATACATGAGGTCTCTTAATATTTAATATAATTTTATTTAATATAATTTAGGGGTTGTGTATCAGAAAACTCATTATCATGATGCAACATGACATTTCATACATCTCATGTCATCATATCATAATGCATCATCATTTTAACGTATCATAACATCACAGTACATCACATCACATCATCATATTATCACAGTACATCACATCATCATAGCATCATCGCACCGTAACACATCATAATATATCAAATGCCATCATCATAACATCATTATAACACATCATAATATCATATCAACATACATGACACGTGCAAGAGCCATTTGGCACGTTTCATCATACATTAAAAAAGTTTTTCAACGAGTCGATAGAATGACTACTTACTCGTCGTAGCCAAGTAAGACAAGTCTTGGTCAATGTTCTCCTTCCAACTTAGTTGCTTTTGTCTTTAAGTTCTTTCTCACTTATATTATAACTTCCTCTATTTGAATATTCACTTTGTAACGATTGAATTCCTAACTTACTTAGGAATAAAATAAACATAAATTATCTAAAAGTCTATATATGAAACTTGTAATTTAAATCCCGATTATCGAGTCTATTCAACCTTTTGTACATTAAAAATACTAATAATAAATTCTAGGTTGTCTTTCCGTTCTAATTATTAAAAACAAACTTCTCAACTTTTCAAATTTGTTAAACAACTAATAAATAAAACTGATGTGTTTTAAATAAAATTTAATAATATATTTAGAAGTTGGATTGGATCGTAACCCTTAAAAATATGTCAACCCAACTAAATTTTCGATTTTTCAAAATTTCAATCCAACCTAAGAAAAAATAAAATCTAACCTAGTCTAATTTTTATGGCATTGATTAGATAGTTTGGATTAATCGAGCTATCGAGTCATATCAATATTCTTAACTTCTTAAAAAGCAAAAGTATTTTTTTTTTCTTTTAATCATAATAGTTAACTAACTTAGATTAAAAAAATAAAAATAAAATAAATAAATAAATAAATAAATAGTTTAAATTAGAAGTTAGCCATTTGGAGTTTCATATTTGTTCAAAATTTTAAAACTCTCTTAATTTATTTGACATTTTAAAAATCATATACATACTAAACACAATTAAAAATTTAGAATATCATTAGATATAAAACTTAATATCAATTTATTTTTAAAAATTTTGAATACGCAAAAAGATATTAGCCATAATTTGAAACAAAGGATGCAAAAACCTAGATGAGCTAGCTTGCCATCAACACATTCTAAATAGGCATCATTCCAGGAGTTCCCTACTAACACAATAAGCCGCGCTATAGCATCAACAACACATTATATCCAACAATCAAAGGGCAGTGACTAATAAAAAGATACGTCCTATTTGCAGAGGCAACCGCAAACAAACCATTTCGGTATATCTTAATCAAAACTTGCGGGCAGATGCAGAATGATTTGTAGGAGTGTGGCAATTGAGCGTTTAGTCCTCATCCATCCCCGCAGGCTGCGCTCCTCTCCTTGGGCCTCCAGCTGGTTTTGACATTATTATCTGCAACATGGGATTTAACATTCATTCTAAAACACATCTACACCACACAAACATGATAAGTTACGCATTATGGTTGAGGCTACTCAAGTCCAGTTCAGCAATATTATCAATAATCCCTTGTTCTCAAAGAAGGCAAGGGTCAAGTGTGAAATGTACAATATTTTCTGAATTCTTTCCTGCATAATCCCCCGCCCCCAAAATGTACACACATGATAAGTTACGCATTATGGATCAAGAGAAGCTATGAAATGATGCTCGTCTCAGCTGTCCTATGTATATATATGGTTTTAACAAATTAAATATCGATCGAGGTCGTTAACAATTCTGTCTCAAAATGAGTTTGACATAGAAAGGGAGATGAAAAATACTGTAAGAATATAGTTTGACAAAATATTTATAGTACCTGGTCCACTCGAAGGACAGTACAAGCAGCATCTGCAGCATACTTAAGAGCAAAGAGTCTAGAAAAGAAAAAAAGCCACACAAAAGAGGATGTTACCATGAGTTAGTCATCATCAGTATAATATAATTAACAGGACAAATTTATGGTATAACAAATAAATGACACTTCACCACTCTAAGGAAACTAATGGTGTTTTTTTCTAATAAATTGTACTTTCATCCAGGAAAAATGAAAAAACAATGGCATCCAAAAAGAATTAGTAAACCCCCTTTTGAGACCCCGAATAATGAACAATTTTTTCTTCTGAACACATTTAAGATTTGTCATTGCAAAAAAGATAATAGTAACTCCACCATTAACTACTTCATTTATGTATTTCATAGTAATATAAATGGGATTCAACTCAATCAATGAAAGAAATAAAGAAACACTACAAATCTTAACAAACTTGATGTGATATAAGAATCTATAATGGGACATAACTTATTTCAATTAGGACAGTTCATATATGGTTGAACTGTTCACTATGATACTGCATTGCACCAAGTATCACGATGAGGTTCATGAATCAAAATTCATTATCAAGGTTTGGAATTAATGAGCACTCAATAAATCAAGTTAACGGCACTACTACTGAGGCACTAAAATTGAGCATTCTAAAGGTCCCTGAAAGGGGTGTGCTTCAAGTAAAATGTAACTTCAAGAAAGAGACGTAATTCTATATTGTACGAAGCATTGAACTAAGAGTTTCATAAGAATAACCATAATTATTCACGTTGTAAGAGAATGAAGACTGACTTTGTAATGTGAAGATCCCAGATATTCATCTTGGAAACATCCTTGCAAAGCCCTTCCTCCAAGTCTATACCCACTCTAGTATTTCCGGATGCATGCTCAGCATACAATGATGATATTATCTCCATTGCATTTAGCCCAGCATTTTCAGATAATGTTTTTGGTACCATCTCAAAACTTTCTGCAAATTTTGCAATGGCATACTGATCCAATCTACATACAGACAAGGAAAAGTCATCAGTAGTTTTTCAATTATAGAATAAAATAACTAACTCTGATCTAATACTCATAATAGCAACCCTTTGAAATAATTCAAAACATTGACCAAATTAAACAACAATAGTGCATTAGTTTGAATCAAAATGGAAAGAAATGTGTTAAATGGGACACTTAGAGCTGGCATTACAATAATTCTCATGATCTAAAAAAACTAATGGGAAAAAGCATAAGCAAGCACGGAATAGAGAACTCCATAAGAAACTAAAGTTACTTCTTTGATTCTTTCATTTTTTCTTCCAATAAATCTTAGTTTTGATGGTCTATGCTAATGACATTATTCTCACAAGTGACGATGAACCAGATATAGTTGAACTCAAGAAAAATCTTGCAAGAGAATTTCAGATCAAGGATCCGGAAACATTCAGATATTTTAGGGATAGAATTCGCAAGATCAAAGAAGTATCTTTGTTAATAAAAAAAAAAAAAAAAAAAAAAGTCCTTGGGAAAAGACCGATACCATAGAATTCTTGGAAGGTCAATATATCTATATCATGTGTCCTGATATTGCTATGTGGTAAGCATGGGAAGTCAGTTTATGCATGCAACTAAACCAATTCATTTTGAAGTTGCTTATAGAATTTCGAGATATCAAAAAGGAACGTTTGGGAAAGGTATCTTATACAGTAAACACCATCACTTTTAAATAGAAGTTTATACTAATGCAGATTGGGCGGTAAGTGCTAAGATGAAAGAGTAGACAAGGGCATACAAAAAAACAAGTCCACAAAAGGAGTCCTCAGCTACAAGAAAGGAGTCCAATCCAAAAAAAGGATACCAAGCTAATTAATACAAAAACAAATTAATTAATGGACGCCCATACGGACGGATTAAATCTCACACCATCCAACAAGCCTCCAAACCTCTAAACCCCTCTAAAATCCGACAATTCCACTCGAGCCACCCCTCACAAGATAACAAAACAAGATTGCCACAAGACACTCTTTATTCTGGTCTTTATCTTGAAAAGAAGAGTTCATTAGAATGTCTTCACTCAACTAGCAACAATCCCTATTGTACACCACCATAGCAACCCTAAACAGGATTTCAACAGAAAGGCTACTTAAGCAACCTATATTTAGCGTATGGGTTTAGGACTTTGTTTTTATGCATAGATGGTCGTATAAGTATCGGTTTGCATATAACTGAGAAACCAAACTGCATTAGCCAATGCAGTCCCCTTTTCAAGAAATTTAAGATTTCATCATTTTAGGTCTTTGAAAACCAGAATCTTCAGTTTCGAAACATTTAGTTTTTAAAGGAGAAAGGAAAGGGGAAAATGAACCATGAATAATATAAATAGCCCCTAAAGCACCAAACACGTAACTTTTAAGAAACAAATACTTCATTGGTTGATGAAAGATCACAAAAGAAGACGCAAGAGGCATTAAAGAAAACCCTAAGTTCCTAACCCAACAAAACGAAAGCAGCTGCTAAAATCTCTCCATCAACTCTCAAGCTTTTGTTGGTTTCCCCGTCTCTCTTCAAAAACTCTCCATGATTACCCCAACTATCCAACAAAAGGTTTTACTTTCCCCTAATCTCAATTGAGGATTAGAAACTTCCTAGTATTTTTCCCCATCTCGCCACCACTATTATTAATTTGAATATAAAGCTTTGTTTTGGAATCGGTGGAAATAAAGAAACCAGAGAATATTTGCAGAAACGACACAGACCTACACAAAACTGTTCGACAATGTTGTTTACCAAGCTATATCTTGGTGTAAACTGTCTAATATTTTTACTTCCTATAGTTATACCTCCCTCATTGCAAATTGGGAAGGTCTTTTGTAAACATCATGGATTATACATCCCTCTGGTAAATTTCACTCATCAATGGAAAAAAAAAAAAATATAAAAAAATATAAAGCTTTGTTCAAAAAGGGCCTGTCAAAATGGCCATTTTGAAAACTGCTACTACAACAATCAACTCATTCTTATGTCAGTTTGGATTGAGAGGAACAATCGTATCTTCAATGGCAAAGCAAATCTTTTGATAGATTTTTCAACATGTCATTTCTTAGCTATATCTCATAGTATAAGTGATATCAGCTTCTCCATCTTTATAGCTCTGATTCTGTTAGATCATCTCCCTCTTTTTTGTAAATTCCCTACATTGATATAGGAATGCAAGGGGAAAATAAAACCCTTTTCCATTCAAATCTTCTCAATCAACAAGAGATCACTATTCCTTTTAAATTTATAAAGAGTTACAGGTTCTTAAAGTCATTCACCAGGTCATTGAAAACAAGCTTAACGGCCATGAAGAGCCAAGCATATTAAGGAAACCAAGTAGGAGGTTAACCCCACAAACTTAGATTTACTATCCTCTACATCTTTTACCAACTCTTAACCTTTAAAATTCTTTACTGCAAACGAAGTCTCCTCATCCTTGTACATCTCATCCACCCTAGAAGACCTCCTCAACTCTACTGCTGCAAAAAGAAATCTCAGGACAAAAGGAGTCCAGAAAGAGAACTTTTTTCCCTAATTGAACAATTATTCTACATATTAATATAACTGCAGTTTGTATTCCCGCTGCTTATATCAGTTGTGCAAAACCGTTTCCTTATCTTTCCAGAGAAATGCTGTTAACAACAGACTCTGTTCAAAAACCTTATAAAAAAAATTATCTTCTTGTGCAGTATTATATTGTTTTTTAAAAAATAAAATAATTACCCTGTTTCTTTAAAAGAGAACTCCTTTACTCTTCTAGCCAACTCAATTTCAGTAGCAGCAGCTCCAGGCACTATGCGGCTGTCCCTCGCCATTGCCTGACAAAGAAAATCATCAAGCAAGCTCCAAATAATTCCAAGAATAAACAGTATATATGTAGAGAAATACTTTGTACGTATTAACTCCATCATCAACAGCCCGTTCAAGATCATCCAGAATACTATCAGTACTTCCTCGTAACACAACTGTTGATATGGAGTTACCCCCCTCTTCATTCTTCACAACTGTGACCTATAATGTAATATCAATAGGGAAAATAATTAGTTATGATGTCAGAAATAATGAAGAAGCAATCATGAAGAAACAGTGCAATATAAAAATAATTAAGCTAATATAGATAACATACCCTAACACCACCAATTTCTTCAACTGAGACAGAGTCCACATGACCCAAGTCATCTGGATTTGGCTGGCTGAGCTTCAACTGTTGTTTGGTGTGGAAGGGAATCATGTCAATGACAATGAAGAAAACAATCCAACTTTATCAATAACAAAGCCTTGACATCTTACCATGGCTACAGCACCAGTTGTGCGACAAAATCTCCGCAACTCAAACTTTGAGCTAATTTTTAACACCATAAGCCTGCAGCGCAACAGTGCATGAAATTAAGGAAAGAATCTGATAAAAAAGAATGATCTAATCTGGATAGTTCATCCAAATCCAACACATAAACCAACCCTTCCCAACATGCATCAGCAATGCAAGTTAGTACATACAAACTTTTAACTGTTAATTTTAAATTCAAAAATCATTCAGCCACATCATAGTCATATTTGGATACACTACAACATTACAAACATGCTTGAATGCGATATGGAGTCAATGAAAAGATTTGATAAAAAAAAATGAATATTTGCAGGAGAGATGTATTAGACAAATGTAAAGAAAACAAAAACAATCAAACGATCAATTATGACTTCTCCAAAATTGAAATGAGAATGATGTAGTGAACAATATTTTCAAACAAATACCCTTTTTTGCTTTATCATCAAAACTTCATTGATTTTTCTCAAACTCTCATAGGTTGTAACAATTTTTTTTTATAAGATACCTGGATAAATAAATAGAGTTCTTAATAAGATGAATGAAATGACAAATAGAAAAAGAAAGAAAGAAGCATACTACAAATGGAGCCTACAAAGAAGAGACAGCCTAACAATCACACTAAAGGGCTCTATCGCAGAGAATAAGAGATAACTGGTAGTTGTAAAAATCATTCCACACTAACACCTAAAAGAAAATGTGGAATACAGCCCACACCTCCCGGTACTTTCAAACCCCCTAAAGATTCTCCCAATCCTCTACACCTAAAAGATAACTGGTAGCACCCCGAAAGATCCCACCCTAATCCTAAAACAAAAGATGGAACAAACACCCCCTCTATCATCATCCAACAAAATCTATTTTACATCAAACATACATTTCAATGAGCGCAGTGAGCAAGAAATATAGCATTTTTTATTCAGCAACAACCTTTAAACATTTTTTTAATGAATAACCGAACTTGAGGGAAAAAAATGAACGAATAAAAGTGCATGCAAAAAAAACAAAAACAAAAAAAAGAAAGAAAAACCCACAAAAGAGAGGCTATTAAAAGAAATAGCTCCTACAGAAGAGGGAGGCAAGCTAAAGAAAGTGTCCAATCAAGCACAATACGACCTAACAAATAATTACAAAACAGCTTAACCACTGAAGCAAGAAATGCTGAACCTAATAAGAGCCCAAACATCACTCCAAGGTCTCCCAAACCCTCTAAAGACAGTTATTCCTTTCCCCCAATAATCCCAAAAAATAACACAAACCTCAGCTTGCCACCAGAACAACCTTCCTTTCTCGCAAAAAAGAAGGAAAAGGAGATCCTCTACCACCTTTCTAACACTTAACTGGAGAACGAAAATACAACAGAGAGAATGAAAACTCAACATACTTGTAGCGCTCACAGAAATGTAGAGCCATTTCCCCAACAGCTGCTCCACTAACAATTACTTTGGCCCCTGAATCTGCAACTGCTTTTATCAGCTCCTCAACTTTAGCTTCCTCAGTTTTCGCATAGTTTTGTAGCTACAATTGATAAGCATATGTATAAATTGATGTTACAAGAAAAAAATATAATTCCAATAGCAAAAGAAAAAACAACCTCAAAAGGAGACCTAAAGAAAGAGAATATCCTTTTTTTATAAGAAAAATTAAGGAATATATTGACCAAGCAAAACAAGAAGATAAATATAAGCAATAAAACAAGAAAACACCCAAAAATAAAATGTATCTTTCCAATCAAAATAATAACAAAAAAACAAGAAATTCTATGAAGCAGGATTCCCATGATTACTGCTGCTACCAAAGACAACTGCCTCAAATAAACAGGGGGCACCTAGTTGTATTAATACGTGTTTTTACTGAAAAATTGCAGTAGAAAAATGAAAGAATTACAAGAGGGGCCTACAAAACAAGCCACCCAACAAAAGAAGCTAGCCAAAACCTAGCTACATTTACAAAAATAGTTCTAATCCAAAAGAATAAGGCCTCAAGAATAATTATAAAACTACTAGAGGGAATCACGAATAAACATATTAAACCTATCAATTGACCAAATCTCTTTCCAGACCTATCAAGGTCCCTAAAATTTCTCCTGTCACTAAGAAGAAAAATGTCCCATAAAACAGCCAAAAAAACCTACACCAAAAATTAAGACAACCTCTCTTCCAGGTTAAACAACTGTCAAAAGACACCAACCAAATTTTCAGTAACTCCCTAGAAAGAATGTATTGAAAGCACCAACAATTTTTAAAGGGACCCTTAGGTTTCGAACTGCAAAGGATAGCTGTGAAATGATATCTTTAGGTTTTCTTTTTATTATTATTATTTTATTTTATTTTTTTCCTAATTTGTGAAATGCTCTACTGCAGATGATTCAGATATTTAGTTCGAGAAGTGGTGGGTGAGAGATAAACCACTTTGTGCCTCATCCCCTTGTATGTATCTGTAGCCTAACATGAGCTAACATGCAGCAGCCTCTATCTTGCCCATCTTAGGGAATTCCTCCTCATTCTTTTTGGGTATCTATCATACTCTTTCGAATAGGGAGACAAGAAGGAATTGTCCAATGAGGTTCGAGAGTGGGTAATTCTTAATCGGTCAATTGATTCCTCCTTTTACATGATAAGGTGTAGCTAAGAAAGCACAAGCAGAGTTTCTATGTTGGACACACGCCAAACAAGCATTCATTTAAACACGTTCCAAACACGTTGATGGCGTTGATCATCTCTCTGCAACCCCTATGCCTAACCAAGCTTAGATCAAACTCCTCAAAAGAAACAGTTCCAGACTACAAAATGTAAATCACTAACTCCAAATAATATGACCAAGATCCCTCTGCTGCCCTCATGCAAAGAATGCACCACAGCATTCAATACCTTTTTTGTCAAATGGTTTGTAGGAAATGGATCCAATACTTGGAGACATCCCTCTTTGTTCCAAGTTTCCTCTTACACATCATTATCTTCAAAAAGGCTGTGTTATTCTAATGAAAAAATACGACTATCATTGTGAAAAAAATGAAAGAATACATAGGCATGCAAAAAGGAAAAGCCCACAAAAGGGAATCAAACTACAAGAATGGAATTCAACAAGGAGAAATAAGACCTAGCGAATAATTAGAAAAGAGCAAGAAACAGAAGCCCAGAGAGAAACAAAGAATCTAATATGGGACCAAACATCACTATAAGAACTCTCTCTAACCATAAAAGCACCCAATAGGATATTGTTTTGTGTGAGGAAAACCCTTGTAAAAAAAATGAGCAAAAGACTCCTTTATGAAGGTCATGGACCCTCTCATTTCAGATTTTCAATGTGGGACTGGGGATATCATTCTCACTCTCCCAAATTTCTGCCAATCAACTTAATCTCACATATCCTGTCTCTTCTATTCTTCCCCTCACATACTTCCCTCTCTTCTCTCCATCTCCCAATTTTTAGTCTACCATTTTTTAGTTTTATATTTTTTATATTTTATATTTCTATTCATTATTTTTCTCCATCTCTTTTTTCCAGTATATTTATTTTATTTTATTAATATATTTCTAATTAATTTATATTAAAATTTGAAATTATTATTAATGTTATATTGTTGTTATTGTTATTGTTGTTAATGATGTATTTCTTTGAACCGATATAATAGATTATTGATGAATTATTCTAATCACTATTCGTTTGTCAATCCAAGCATAGCTCTGTGGCTAAAAGCACTAATAACTATTCCAATGGTCGATTGTTCGATCCTCACCCCATAGTTATTGAACTAAAAAAACATTAATTATTGATATGTACTTAAAAGGATCATTTATGATTTAAATGATCTAATGTTAAAGTGCAATTTAGAAATTTACAAAAAAAAAATTATAAGTTTTCATGATATCCGGATCTTTTTATATATATATATATATATATATAATCAATTTATCGAATCAATTTCTACATCGACATTTTCATCCATTCATTAGAGATGCCATTAGCTTGAATTATATGGGATTTTTCTATTCAGATGTTTACTTAATTAGAGAAGGGAGTGACATCTATGATGTTGGAGGTCCTTATGCGTCCATTGTTTCGTGATAAGGGCCAGATTTTGTAGCATCCCGGTTTCTTTACAGTCCTTTGGGGTCAGTCAATGGAGAAAACATTAAGAATGTAAGTTTTTAATGCAAATCTCAACTGAGGCATCCTTGTGGCAGCTTTTCACCACACTTATCAAAACCGTGATGACAAAGAAAATAATAGCTTTTCAACTTCCTTTGAATGAACTTTGAAAATATTAAAAAAAATTGAGATTTACCTCCTCAGCAGTGTGAATTAATACTGTTCCTTTTGTTTCCGTGGCAGATGTATCAACGCCACCAGCAAATACAGCAACCTACATAAAAAAAAAATGTTCAATAAAATCAAAACCAAAACAGTCTAGAGAAAGAGTTTCACATATATATTTGAGAAGTACGATAAAATAAGAGTTTCAAGTCCTTTTTATACATAAAAATTAATGATACACATTAATCAAGGTTTAATTTCTCTTTGCGAAAACAAAAGCAATACAAGTTAAAAACAGGTGAAGAATCCTTATCGTCTATCACAATCACAAAGCCAGCATCCCCAAAAAACACTTTAAAAAAGCCTGTCATTAATCATCTTAATTATGTATGGATACAGCCTGACATTTAAAACCACGTAATGTAAAAAATGAATGATAGCAACACAGCTACCCTAGATGCAGATAAAACTTAAATTTCTTATCTTCCTCTCTCTTCTATTTCATTTCTGCACGCAGAAGGGATTAGCACTTGCAATTAAAGAAATGCCAATTTCATTTCTTAAAGCTGAAATGATCTGTGGTTTCCATTTAGCCATCAAAACTATTGCAATGGCTTTCAGATATACAAGGACTGTTTCTAATTCCCCAAAAGAACCTCTTAACATTTTCCTTCTTTTTGACAGAAACAAAATATCTCCTTAGAGAATCACTGCCCTCTAATCTTGGTCAGCATATTATCAGGGACACCTCATGGAGCAGCAGTCGAGATGTAGTTACCTAATTTCTTTTTTCTTTTCATATATATATTTTTTCTTTTTTTCTTTTTTCTTTTTTTTTTTTTTTTTTTTTTNNTTTTTTTTTTTTTTTTTTTTTTTTTTTTTTTTTTTTTTTTTTTTTGAACCAGATGTAAACATATAAAAAGAACAAACAAATTAATAAAAATAAGAGCATCTATAACCTCACAGAAGAACATGAATCAAAAGTAGGAATGTACTCAAGAAACACGTTCAGCATAATGGAAGTGTAAATAAATGATGATTTGTACCTTGGCCTTCTCAATTCGCTTAATACTTCCGACAGTATCACTTTTCAAGATCATGCCACGCACTACTGAAGAATTATGTAAACCACCTCCCAATAACTTTGCAACTCGAACATTGTCCACATTAAAATTTGCTGGATTCTTAGGACAAACTTGAATGCAAGCCTGCAACACAAAAAGTATACATAATTTGCAGGTGGAAAAGTTTACAGGATAATTACTCAATTGCAACAAGAGTAGGCAAATATACATCAGCCACTAGAGAACTAATAAAATCTTCTTGTCCAAACTGCTTGCTAGCAACAGCAGCTTTCATGCGTGAAATGACTTCCTCTTTGCTACGAACATCCATGTTTTCTGAACCTTTCTCCACTAGTTCATTCAAAACCTCGACAGTCTGGAACAAAAAGAAGATAAGATATTAAAATACCATGTTATAAAAGTATATCTATGTATTTCGTTACCGTTGTACAAAATGAGAAACCTTATTGATTCCTTTTGTGTAGCCACTGATTATTTCGCTAGGGTGTAGACCCATCCTGATGAGCTCTTCAGCATTTTGTAAAAGTTCCCCAGCAAACGAAATTGTCAGATTAGCCCCATCACCAATTTCTTCTTGCTGAGCTTTACCTGCTAAAACCAAAATTTTGGCCGCAGGATGCTGTACCTCTAGTTCATTGACAATTGTGGCAGCATCATTTGTGACAAAAAGCTTGTCAAGATGATTAATTACCATCTTATTCATTCCTGAAAAAAGATATTTAAGAATAAGACCATTGACATAGATGGTTAAGTTTTGAATAGAACGATACAAAAAGACTCAAGAAAGAAAACATTGAATACATACATACATATAGATATATATATTATACAGATATATATAGATATATATCTATATATAGATATAGATGTGTGTGTGTGTGTATGCATGTATAATTAGAATAGAAGTCGATATGCATTAACACAAACAACAAGTGCAGAGGTTGGAGAAGCAATCCTTGAACATTATTGTCCTAATTGTTCTCTCAAACATCCACATTATGCTCCAACCTTAGACATTAAGTAAAAATTACCTATAGAGCATTATTGTAGATGATGGCTTTAGAAAAAATTGTTAGATTGTACCGGATTGTTTTACCTTTTACTCTCATTTTTACAACATTCAATAATGAAAAATAGATTTATGGGCTACAAAAGTTAGAAGTAGTTCTTTGAACAATTACTTTTTTTAATTCAAAGCTAACTCCCATTAAAAAGAATGAAAAAAAAAAAAAAAAAAAAAAAAAAAAAACTTCGAAGGATGCCTCAGCCCTAGGTGCCTTACTCTTTCGAGGCAAGGCACCTTTTTATGTTATTTTTTTTAATTTCTATTTTTAAAAAGAAATATGAACATACGTTGTCTAAAAGCCGATATCTTCAAATGATATCTTACGGTGGTCCTCATTTTCACAAAGTTCCCATTATAATATCATTTTCACAAAGTTCCCATTATAATATCATTTATAGTGGTATGTTTTTCATATAAAAATATTTTGTTCATATTTTTCCATTTTCTCGCTTATAATTTAAAAAACATATAGATAGTAAAAAGAACCCCCTTTTTCCTTTTGCACATTACACTTGACAGTTGAGTTCTCCACACTTTAAAAAAACAAAAACATTTTTTATTAAGGTTCCAACTTCCTTTAGAAAGATGGAAGGGAGAAATAAAGTCAACCTCAAAAAAAAATTTTTAAAAAAAAAAGGATAAAAGGAAAATAGCCAAACCATCAGGGAATGAATGAAACTAAAATAACAAGTTAAGAGGCAACCTTCTGTAGCCCTAGCTAAAATGAAAACTCTCTTTTTAATCCCCAAAACTCTGCTACTTCTTCTCCAACCAAGTATTGTAACACACAGAATTTTATGAAAATAAATAAAAGATTTTTTTTTTCAAAAAATAAAAATAAAAAAAGAAGGAAAGCAGAATGGCACACACGCAAGTTGGAGAAGATGACTGTACAATCAACAGTTAGTTTCTCAACCTTTTCTTTAACGAATTTGAAGCTAGCCATTTTCATCAGTTTTGTTGTTTTGACTTAATTTAGGGCATATTGAGGAATTTTGGAGAAATTTGGAATATCCTCAAAGACCCGAAACAAGCCCGGAAAGTCTAAGTCTACAATCAAGTAAGTAACCATATGGAGCAAGTTTCTAAGAAATACTTGTAGGAGTCGATAAGGATTGAGGGCAATGATTGAGTATTATGTTTAGGAGCCTAGTTTGACCTAGTCTCATGATAATTGTGCTTAGATAATGTGAACAGTTTACCACTTAATCTTATTTACAGTTATCTAGCTTCCGCATACATGATTGTGAACTCTAATAGAACATTAGGCTTCTATGCTTTCCAGTATGTTGAGGCTAGATTATTATCACTTAATGAGCATGACAAGCATGTTGTATGCTTTTATACATTTATTATGCATGATTTAGGGTTTGGATAGCCCGTTATTACCCCGTCATGAGTGTGAATATAGTTATGTATCATAGAGTGATAGTTATGGTTTCCATAGACTATGAATTACTGTTTCATATATTTTGGTCCTAGCACCCAATCATGAGTTCCACCTCCTTGGGTTGACTAGGTATCTTGTAAGGACATATAAGGCACAATCCCTATTCATGAACTAACCAACAGAGGTTAGGGTCTACTTGTTACACATAGCTTAGTTGCCACCCATAGAGGATTTCAGGGGTCATAAAGGGTATACTACTGTAGTACTTACGGCGGTGCCTAGTAGGGAGAGTTATGGCCTTTTTACTGTTTCTGCCGAGTGGCATAGTGACAAGTAGTTTTACTGTTCTAGCTTGAAAAGGCAAACTAACAAGTAGTTACTGTTCCTATGATAGGTGGTTTTATTGTTCTAACCCAATGAGGGTACATGAGCAGGTAGTTTACTGTCCCAGCCTAGAGAAGGCATAGTCACAGGTAGTTTTATTATTCTAACCCGATGAGGGTACATGAGCAGGTAGTTTTACTGTACCACCCTAAAAAGGCCGTAGTAACCCGGTAGTTTACTGATCTTAGGAACAAGTACATATTGTCTGACACCACTAGGGAGAGTCCACTGATCAGAGCTCAATAGGTAATATGTATGGAGTACGGTCACCGTTTAGAGCAAAAAGGGCTCCTCCAAACTTATGAGTATTACCCTATGGTCCTTCCATGGGCCACAAGGACTCGAGGCACACTTTGCGCAAGACAGATGAAAGACCTAGACATACGTGAAACCTAGAGTCGAGAGAAAATAGAAAACCTCTAGGTTGTGAACCTAAGAGGGATTGAGTTCTCTTTAAAGGAGGTATGTTGAGGGTAGTTGCAAAATGACCTGTCAAGTTTGGTATAGTCGTTTAACCCAGTTTGTTAAAAACAGTTATGCGCACATAGCTTAAGTTTCCATGCATAGGATTAAGTTTGACAAGAGTCTACAAGTAGGTTGCTTACTGAGTACTTTTATACTCATTCCATGTTATTCTATTTTTTTCAGATGGAGTGTAGACCACTGTTGATGGCGGGAGAGTGCGGAGCCGTACAGCTGCAGGGGGTGCCCTTTAGATCAAATTGTCTTCCTTCTTGTCATTTTAAATGCTATTTCTTGAAACGTATGTGTTCTTTGTAAACCATTTTGAATGGACTCTGTAGATATTACCTTTAAACTACTTTTATGTCAACTTCGAATGCATATTTAAATTTAAAATTCCTTGTGTCCCCAATTTTACAGAAGAAAATTTTATTGCCTTTTTTACCCTTGAATACGTGGCGACCTGTGATTCGAGGTATCAAAATAGGAATAGGGTCGTTACAAGTATACTAAAGAGCTTCCAAAAAAAAAAGCCAAAGAACTTTTCCTATTTTGTAGAACATCAGACACAACAAAACCTCACTATCCAATCACGGGAACTCCAAGGAGGCACATGAGAAATAAGAAGTCATCATAATCTTCCCCAAATCTCATCAGAAAATGAGCATACAAAATGATCAGATGATTAATAACTTTCAAAAGCTTGCTTTATAACAAAGCACGATAAATGAAGATCTCTGAACAAAATCATTGGTGCTAACCCTACAAAGAGTCTCAAACCAAGGACAAAATCTAATTGTAATTGTAACTTTTTATAACAATGCTAATTTGGAGGTAGTTAACATAATTCTTCAGTAATCAAGCTACAGACGCGTTACACAGAATATTTCCCAAGCACAACTTTAACATAAAATCCCAGACCCACCAACCTTAATCATATATTAGTGTGGAATGGTTTCATTAGCAAGGAATTTCAACAGATCAAAACAGTGACTAAACTATAAAAATACCAATGACGTACTTGCAATTTCAACTAGCAATTTCACCAGGATGGTAGTACAAAGTTAGCAGTTTTTCCACAGAAATAAACCTAACAGTTGAGTGAAAAACCGTTCGGGTGGAGAATAAATACTTAGAATGGGCATTAAACCGTTCATGTTACAAAAATACATTTCGATTACTCTCCAACTTTAAGTGCCCGTTATTATTCTCCAACGTCATTTTATCATCAGTACTTAGTGTGTTGTGACTTTCCTTTTAAGTTCAACTATATGTGAAGGTCGAGATTTGAATGGTCCAAATATAACGTCTTTAACAGTTGAGCTACGGTTAGGTTCGCAGCTGACTTACTGATAGCTAAATTCAGAATGAATGTTGATGTTTGTATATCACACCAGATGTGCAATTCTAAAAAAAACTTAACCATTATTTATCTCGCCTAATCAACCTTTATCTTTATAATTGCAAGGTTAATCCAGAAGATCATGTTAGAATTATTTTCCGATCTTGAATGTAATGTATCTCTGTCCGTCTTTAAAGAAACATTGCCACTTGGAAGGGAAAACCAGGCCTCCCTTAGGTGGCGTAACAAAAAATCTAGTAATGTGAAGAAGACGAATCACTATATAAAACAGGAAAAGACTAAAATCGGTTTGCTTCAGAAAACAGTGGATGAGTGCATAGCATTCTCGTTTGAAGTACTGAAAATGACATAAAATGTAAGGAAATGGGAAAAAAGAAGCGGTGGGATTCAGGATCAGATGAAACATACCATTGGGGCCAAGAGAGGTTCGAGTAATGGTGGAGAGCTGTTTGCAGGCGTCAATGTTCTTGAGAACGGCCTCATCTAAACCCGAGAGATGCTTGTGACCCTCTTTAAGCATGGATTGAATTCCATGAGACGGCATCTGGAAACCCATCTTCGAATTCCTCTGAAAGCCTGAAATAAAACAGAGATAAGTAACTCCGATTGCTCGGAGAGGCGAGGGTGTTAGAGAGAGAGAGAGAGAGAGGGGTAGGGGGCGTCGGCGCTTACGTCGGAAGCCTGAGACTGCGGCAGCTAGAGTGCAGCGTGCAGGGTGCAGTGGCAGGTAATGGAAGGGAGGGGTGGGTGAACGTGAAATAGGGTTTAGGAAAAGTAGAAAGAGGATGGTTAAGAAAAATGTCTAGTGACTGTTGCGTTCCGAGTAGAGGAAAAGATTCAATGTAAAATATGTTTTTTTTTTCATGAGTTGAGTTAGGTTATGAAATGGAGAATTAATAAGTTAGTGTTAAAGGGTGCTAAGTTAATTGAGATTTGAAGTCGGAGTTTAGGAAATTAATGTTGGGGTGTTGAGTGTCACAACTTTACTATGACGAGAGTAGGTTGTGACAATCACGTTGCAACAAGAAAAGTGACGCTCATCCGACCATGTAAGGGCTTAGACGAGTGTCATGATGTGACCGAGGAGAACCATGCATCGTCTAACACACCACATAAAGTGACATTGAAGAAAAGCCGAGGCATAAGCAAGACAAATAGCCACGAGTGTCAAAGATAGGCTTGTTGAAGGGTTTGGTAGAGACTCGGGCTTTAACCTTGAAAGTCATAGTTCCGAGAGAATATTGAACATGTAGTTATGGAGTCAAGTACGTCCATATGAAATATGAATGTTTGCCAAATTTGGTGTCAATCAGCCACAACACCGTATGACTGTTTGCCAAAATCATGTTTATCTGAGGAGCATTGAAAATGCTTCAAAATGTTCTATAGGAGGCATGATGTCAGCTCTCTCCACCACCCTTGGGCCTTATGGCCTAAGCAAACTACCCTATGGCACATGCATGTGTCAAAGTGAGGGCGAGTGTTCCGAAACGAGTGTCTCAAACAACTTTCTTTGAAGTTTCAAACAACTTTCTTTGAAATGGATCTTTCAAGGACATTACCAGGTAGCACGGGTGTGCTAGTATTGCATCCTAACCTGAGTGTTGAGGGTTGAATTTTGCACTTGTTATCCGGTACAATATTCGTAAATGACATGGCATGGGCACGGGGGAGGGGGGTCAATGCCTCGATTGAACTCGAATGGATGGATGTCCCGAAATTATGAATGACACGTGGGTCCGTTCTAGATGACATGATAGAGTGAGATGTGATGATCCACGACACCCCGTGACTTGGGATGACGTTAAAACATGAGGGTCATGTTAATTGGGAACCAAGATGAGACGATGGGATCGACGTTGCATTGAGAGACTTTGGCTCCGAGTAAAGGCAAGGTTGAGCTAAATGACTTGACCTAGTGTAGAGGTAAGTTGATTTTGTCGCAAACGATTGAACATGCACGTGCAGGTGGTGTGTGTGGCCAAACAAGTTTTGATTCAACACAAGTGTGTTCAGTTGGCGAAAACAAATCTCGCCTAAGATACGATGAAGCTACAAAGTCGGGCGAAAAATTTGAATGGGACTTGAGTTCTCCCTTAAGGGATGTAAGACTTTACAGCTGAGTTGTTTGCATATTCATTGGTGTACATACAATGTCAATCATTTCTGAGTAAAATGTAAATCTTTTCCTCTTGATGTTTCGATTCCAGTATCTCTATTGGTTGCGTTTTCAACGTATCCTTTGAAGCATCGAATGGTGGTGGTTCTGGGACGTAGTACTCCTCTGAACCCATCAGACATCCTCTTCCACCTACTTGAAAAATTTGATGTTATTTCTGTACGGGTTTCTACTCTCAATTCTGTGGCACGATCTTTGCCAACATCATACATAGGTCATATGGTAAGTGGAAATGGTCTGTTCTATATGCTTTTGCATTTGGATGACCCTATGTTAAAAAGAAAACTAAATATTAGTAGAGTGCATTAGAACATTAATTTACATTTGAATTTAGAACAATAATTTAAGTATGAATCTACCATCTTACTCTAATTCATGCATTGAATACCTCTTTCTCCACCTTAATGCACTTGAACTCTTCGTTCCACCTAAATCCCCTACATGCAGGTTTGAGCATCTCAACAATTATCGTGTACCATTTCTTGAGACTCCTAACTTTACAAAGTATAGTCGACGCCCATTTCAAATTGCAATAATGATAACTTCTATTCCATTAACCGTTCTAGTTGTTGTAGGTACCCAACATATCTCATTGTTAGATATCCACCCTTTTCACTAAGGGCAACAAGTGACCCAACAAGTTTTGCAACCCCTTTGTCCATGAGTGTTTTTTCTTTCTTTCTTTCGGGACGTGCAAATATGCATCTGCAAATTTTATTGCTAATATTTTTTTTACTTTTTGAAGTTTGATTCAAATAAGTTTACCGATGGAAAGTGACTTAACTGCAAATTAAACCAACGAATAGATAATTTTGTGGGCAGAATGTAATTTAGAAATAAATGTATTCCACCGAGCACGTTACTTGTGATGGTGTTAATTTAACACATGCGTAATCAATTTGGATCTTAAACACGAACATCAATTATAGTAAATAACTAGCATGTTCATTAGTATTAAAACTTAATGAGTTTGAATACTAACATTTTGTAGTTCAAATTCCTTTTTCCTCACGAACCGGTTTCGAGAACCACCACTAGTGTCTTCTCCATTATCCTCCGGCCTTAGAACGGGATTGTGAAATCCGGTGAGTGACTAAACTTGGGAGGGATTTAGTATATATGAAGAGAGAGCTTGTGAGAATTTTCTCAAGGTATTTTTCAAGGAAGAAAACCTTCTATGTACCATGATGACTCTATTTAAAGAGTTTGTATGTTCATGCAAATTTGAGATCACCCAATTTTGACACTCAAAATTCCAGTCAAATGTTTGAGTTTATATGGCAAACATGCATGTTTGAATTAACCAAATTTAGACACCTCAAAATTCCACTTACATGGATTTTTCAATTAAATGAAGTCAACATTTTGACTTTCATTTTAATTCAACCATTACTTTGAATAATTAATTTCAAATTAAAGTAACATTAAATTATTAATTAAACTATTTAATTAATATTTAATATTAATTCAAATGCCAATCTCAATCAATTACGACACATAATTGATTAAGATATTTAAATCTTATTTAAATACCGCAAATTCTCTCTTTTTGTTTAATTCGTAAATAAAACAAAAATGCAGTTAAATATATCGTATATATGTAGCGCATATTCCCTAATTTGAATTCGAACACTTCGAACTCACTCGTCACACTGTTCTATGGTTTAGTCCAATATGAGTTAGCAGAGGGACCTATAGATCATGGGCTCCAACGATCCAAGATTAACCGGTTAAACTCATTAACCTTGTTAACCAACATTCGTTAACTACTAGGACACTCCACTATAGCCTAGTAGTTGCACTCCCCTCACTATAGATATATTTCTGTCCATTTGATATAACCATGATTAGTATGTCGATCCTTCACAGGTTGTTCGTAACTAGAGCTAGGTCAATTAGCCGTTTTACCCCTGAAGTTACTTCTTGTTCCTTATGTCCTACTGATCCTCTTATAAACAATTGGTTTGTGGTCCAACCAGTAAACCGAATCTCTCTCAGGCCAATGAGTGGGTGGGGCCTCTTGTTCAAGACCTAGAGTGTACTTAAGGGAACTACCTCTCTTCTATCCCTAAAAGTGGGTAGGAGCGTATTCCATCTTGCACCCCACGTCCCCAGCTATTCACCCAGTCTTACCCCTGAAATGGGAGGCCTATTGAGTCGGCGAACTCGAGCCACTCTCACCCATGCAAATCTAAGGATAATTCCGAATGAACAGGAGTTCATAGTTAGCTCAGGATTAAGATCGAGTTACCTAAGTCATCGAATGAAAAGAAAATTAGTCTCAACCGTAATCGACATTATATAAAGTGATAGTGATTTTCTTCATGGTCCGATCTTATGTAATACTCATTGCATAGGACGCCCCAACTCACATGTCTCCACATATACAATTTAGTGATCACATTGTTTATATCATATACAAAAGTGGGCTGCATCCATAGTGTCCTCAGAATAAAGTACTCAGTCTTATCCTTATACTATAAATCATTTTGACTATATACTTAAACTTGATCCACTTTTATGTCTCTACATATAGTTCAAGTAATCATACTATAGCCAGAGTGTTCTTAGTTTATTGAATTTAGATTAATAATCGTAAAATTCACTTTATTCAATAACAATCTTTATTGAATAAACATTAATAATAACTTTATTAAAAATAGAATATGTGTTTTGGTTACCCACTATGAGTTTTAGGACATAAAACCCAACAACTTGAGTATAATATCATTGTTCACCATCCACCTACAACATATGGAATAAGGTAAGCCAAGATGAGGATGAAGATGTGAGGCCCATAATTTTCTTACCTGGAAATTTAAAAATATAATGTCATGGAATTGTATATTTAATTCAAAACAAAAAATAAAGATAACATATTCTTTGAATATAAAATAAATTGCATTAAAAATACCTATCAACTACTAAATGAAATTTAATATATTCTATTGCCCTGTCATGACTTATCTCGACTTCCATGGACTTTATAGTGTTCACCGTTATTCACATATGTTTTACCTTTATCTGAAAAATATGAAAAATATGAAATATATAAGGGTAACACGTGGTTGCAATCACACACAATAAATGACTGAGATCTATCTTTTAAAATTGTCACATGACCTTAGGCTCTTTCCAGTTTCGGAAAGGGTTGGATGCATGAAACTTCTCCACACACGACCCACATACACGCACATGGTTCCATCAGGCAAGCTCGTATACATATCCCCCAGGTCTGACTTGGTCGAGCACAACACATTACACGTCACTAGATGGCCTAAAAAAGGAAAGACCCACAAGATATTATGGCGAACATAAATATTGAAGGTACGTGTCCGTACTAGCGTAACATAACGGAGAAGTATCTCGATGCACACGACATACATACATGCACGAGGTCCCATACTTTTCATTCATAACATAACATTTATTTCATTTCCTTTCTCCTTTCCTCCCTAACATATTTCATATATGCATCTTGTATACATGATAAACATCATGTAATCCATCACATAACTTCACATGGTAAGACGTAAAAATTTATATATGACATTTCATTTCATTCCTAATATAGTGTAATAGATATCACATACATGACATACATCACATGAC